AAAAAATCCCTCTTCTGTGCTTTTCTGTAGGCTTGATCCTGAAGTAGATCAAGTGAACTTTGTCTTCATTTGTTTGCCTGTATCTTTACAAGCATTTGTAACAATTGTTTAATTTAGATATTGTAAATAAACACTGTAATTTACACATATAATTTATGTGAATCTGATTAATATTGAAGGATTACTCCAAACCAGCTACTGTCTAGCATTCCTTAGCCAAGTGCCCAGTGAATGTAAAACATGGACAACAAGACACCTTACAAAGGTGCTGAGGTCCTCAACACATTGTTCTGTTATCATTTATCTAGCCATGTTAATTTGCAACTAACACCCCCACAGGCAGGAGGTGCAAAAGCATCTTCCAGCAATAAATGATATTAAGAAACCTCTCCAGCACACATTGCAGTAACAGGGAGCACATGGCAACACAGATCCTAGACAGAAATTGACGTCTGTCTTGTCATTTGTACAGTATTTCTTGTAACAACCTGAATAACTTTCAGAGTACCGTTTTAAAGGAGTAGCCTAATAAAAGCAGAAATATTTAAACTGTCTCAGTTAAGACTATTTGTATTGCCAGAGGCTTAAGGAATACGTACTTAGCCAATATGTATTTATTAAAGCTTTCCAAATTTCTGAATCTAATTATCTAACTTAAAAGATTACAGACATGACAATGTGTTTAGAGGAAAATGCCCCGCATTGACTGCAAGCTGAACTTACCAGTTTGTTTGGATAACGCAAAACCACTGGCTGTACAGGAACTCCAGGAATAAATGCTCCTAGAAGCCACATATGACACATCATTACTTCATAGTGCATTTTGGTACAGAAGAAATGTATTGTAGTAAAAAAAATAATTATACAATTACTGGGCTGATATGCATAGGAATTAGTTGATACTGAAAAAATGGACCCAAAAGTAGCCTCAAAAGTAATCTAAAAAGCAAGCGCTGAAGAATGACAATGTATACCCACCTTTTCAGAAGATAAATAATGAAGAATGCTTGTTTGCACTCCCTAAGTTATCCTCTACCACTTACAAAAATTGTCATGTACACAAATCAAAGCCCAGTACCAAATTCAGCTTGATAAATGATTAAAAAAATACAAGTATGTGCAAGACAGTTAAGTCAATATATTCCCTGTGGTCAACAGCATTGTTTGGTGAAGAACCTAAGCTTTCTTATGCAAAAGAAGCTTTTAATTTTCAGCTGAGCAACACTGATTTATAGGAAATTTATCATCTCTGAAGTAACAGAATTAATCTAACTTCTTTTCTCCCACCTTAATTCCCCTCAGAAGGGCTTATTTGTTCATTCTGTGGCTATGGAAAATCTAATAGCTAGAAAGTATTGAACTATCCCTTCATTTCCTATGAAAATTACAGTTCTGTTAAGTAGCACAAGATCTATAAATGTCATTTGCTAATCATTTTCTTGGTTTCTAGCACAAAGATTGGGTAAGCATGATAACTATCTTGCTCAAGATTTCTCTAAACATCTTTTATTCGTGAAAACATTTAGTAAAGACAGTCTTCACTCAAACGATGTTTTTTATAGCAATTTATTAAGTTCTGTCTAGTATTTTGATTAAAATTAAGAACTGAATGATGGAAGTATACTGTACTCTTAGCATTACCTTTGGAAAATTGCATAGATGTAAAAGAAGTAATTGTTAGTGGCATATACACATCTTTAAATGAAGGTAGTCTGAATGGGATCCTGCAGAGATCTGGTTCTTGGCCCAGTGGTACTTTCTATTCGGTCTCCAAAAACAACACCCTAAACAACTTTTGAAAGAATCCACAGATGACAAAATCGGAGTGGTAGATGACAAGACCACCATTTAAACAAAACTAGATTAGCTTGCCCTGTATGACTAGCTTGCATGAACACAAAACCAAAAAAGTGTGTGGTAAGAGCAAGGAGTGTAGGCCACATCAGTAGAATGAGGAAAGGCATCCTGAAAGCAGTTACTTGAATACAGACCTAAAGTAATTTGATGTAAGTGAGGAACTTTGAGGCAAAGGATTTCTGGGAGGCTGGATGGATATAGAAACAGGTTCCAGTACGGGTGAGACAGCGAAGAGGCAGACAGCAGCATGTACTAGACCAGAGGAGAGGAAGATAGAGTGGGGATTTGATGCAGAAAGTATATGGTGCCTGGAATGTCTATGGCACTGAGGGCAGGCAGGAAATCAGGGCTTTAATGGAGGATTCAGGGTGGTTTTCAAAGCATGGCCAGGATTCAGGTAGAGAGGAGAGTAAAGAGCGAAAGAAGTGGATGTTCTCCTAACCAGGACTCGTTCATCTAAAAAGGTAAAGAGGTGAGAGGGGAGGAAGAAAAGTTTTTTGAATGTTTGTTCAGGAGAAAATACTGAGACTCTCTCAGCCAAATGAATCAGTGCAAGGAATCACAATGCTGACTCATTGCATGATATCCCAACAGCGATATGTAAGTTGTAGCAACACAAAATATAAGACACACAGTAAGATCAGAATACAATGAGCTAGGCAGAAACCTAGGAAGAGTCACAGAACACATTCACAACTGCCTCGCTCACTGCAGCCTCCTCATGCACCCTCTCCCTATCTACAACATAAAGGCAGGTTTACATTAAACATTGGTGCTTCACTGCAGTATTGGCATTTCTCCCTATTGTAACTGCAGTCTACAGCTGCAACAGTGTTCCGTGTTACACTCTCTACTGATTTGACAAGCTAAAAGGGTGATACTAAGTGAAAAGAGCTTAGAATGTGGATGTTAAATACAAAATATTGTAAAAAATGACAGCCTCTGTAACAGTGCTATACTGGCAAGATTCTTGTGCCATCTTCACCAGCATGCAACTCAACAGAAGAGCTGGAAAGGAATCAACCACATACAACACAGCAACAAATGCTGCAGCAGCCTGAAATAGATGCACAGATACACTGTAAAGCTTAAGGTATCTGAAAGCTGCATGACAGACCCAAAATAGGAAATGGAGGGGGCAAGAAAAAAAAAAAGGGAGGCGGCGGGGGGAAGACAACCACAAACAAAAAACCCAGTAAGAAACATTAGTCCTCCAGCTCATATGCATCTCAGAAGCCAAGAAAAAGATCTGAATTATCTAAAATGTTTTGCTCAACAGTGCAACTACAATCCCTTTGTAGCGTCAGAAAATTTCTATTCCAGTTCCACCCTACTGCAAGATTTTTAATTCATCTTCTACAACAACAAGCAAATTATAATGCAAGTGGTATTTCAGAAAAACGAAGATACAAGAACATTCTGTAGAGAACAGAGAAATGAGCATCATACCTACCAGGCTTGAATGTAATTAGACAGGATCGGTTTGTGCAAGTGCCCTCTGGGAATATCATTATCTTGAAGTAAAAAAAAAGTTGATTTTTAAGAACTATTTCAATGTGGATTTATTTATAAACACATCTTTTCAAAGCTAACATTAACTGATTACAGCAAGAAAAGTTTTCAAGGAAAAACATCTCAGAGTAAAAAAAATAGTGCTCAATAAAGTCAAGTTCTGTCTTAATAGTAAAAATATTTTTCTTTATCTGTGAATTTGCCTCTTTCTTGACTTCCGATAATAATTCTATTCTATTGGAACATTGACAAGATCAGAAACACTTGTGAGTACAAAAGAATTTTCACAAAAGGTTTTGCTGCTGGTAAAAATATCATAGTCTGCTTTGCACCAATACAAAATTTCTGCTCCCAAGCTACCTGCTTACAGGCTAAGAAAAGGAAGATTGTAATTTTCTTTTTGCATTTATTACTTGGCATGTGCACAGATGTCAGAATGATAGAGCCTGAAAATATCTAAACAGAATTCTAACAAAGCTAAAAATGCTCAAGTTGAACCGAATTCAGAGGAAGAGGTTAGATTGCTAAAAAAAGTTTCAGACAGCAAAAAGCCAAGAACTGCTGAAGTTTTTTTGAGTTACAGAACAAGACCTTTAAAGGAAATAAATTCATATCATAAGGGGACAAAGCAACAGACTAGAATTAACATTATTAGTTTTATTGCCCGTTCTGGTACTAGCTTGCTAGATATTCTGGAAATCACTTCAGCTCTGTAACTCAGTTTCTTCATCTGTAAGTAAGAATATTTACTTTTTAAAGTGCTTTGAAATCTATTGATGAAAGTCATGATGTGAAAGCTATGTGTCACCTTTCTGTCACACTGTTTATAAGTGTTCATAATGTTTCTGTAGTCCAGTATGCAGAGGTAACCACTGTAGTAGTAACAATGCCGTGAAAGACATACTGTATCTTAATCTCAAAAATCCACACAAAAATGCTTCAAATTTTCAAAATAACCACATGCTTCTAGAAAAATCTAGACCTTATGTTGTCATCCCTTCCATTTCATTATTCTCTTCCAAGGCACATCATAAATAGTCACACTTCATGTGCAGAGAAAACCCTGAGCCACTTATTTTAGCAACGTTTTCATCACGTGGTCCAATAGTGGTGTAGTCCAGTTACTGGAACATCGGAATTGCATGGGCTGTCTTGGCCAGTATCGCATCTCCAACAATGACAATACGCCAAAATCTTGAGAAGAGTAAGAACACACAATACTCCCCCTGCTATTCTGCTGAGCACCTGATTATGTTCTTCTTGGAGGACTTTCTAAACGTGCTGTGGTCTGTCCATTTACTATCCCTTAATATAGCTGCCTTCCCATGTACTTACCCAGTCTCCCTCTGAAACACACGGCAATGAAAAGCTAGTGTTTTGTACAGATAAGAATCTTATATCTTCTAGAAAGGGAGGTGGGAAATCCCACCCCCCACAAACTATCTGAAGCATCCCACAAGGAAAAAAGTGAACTGCATATCCAAAGCCTGGAAATGCCAAATACCATCTGTCACACAGTAGTAGTATACAGTACCTGTGGCCATTTACCATCAGACTGTGCACGCCTCTTTATCTCTTCAACAGTCTTCCTGCGAGAATCCTGGTCTGACCGAGACACAAATACTGGTCGGATGTATTTGATTAGAGCTGAAGAGGAGGGAAAACAAAAACAAGCAAACCAGTCTTTATTTCCTCTTTGTTTGAAAAAGATTCCCATCTTGCCCAGTAGTCCTCTGGACAAAAATTTTGGCGCAAGTACATGACTACTTTACTATATTACACTGCAAACTTAAATACCAAATAAATTACTGCAGTTTTATTGAAATATTTTCATGAATTCCTGTGAGGAAAACCATTTCACAATTTTGGCACTTGGTACTTGTTTGATTTTTATTAGACCAATACACACACACCACAGATAATTTAAAACATGATTGTACATATTATGCATCGTTCTGTGCAACAAAGCAGCTGTGGCTGACTACAGGCCATTTCCTCCTACCACAAAAATCACAAAATCCATAGCCACCCCCAACCCAGCGAAGTAGCAGGAATCTCCCTATGCAAGTGCTTCCAAAAGACATCCTGTGGGTCAAACTGCCACTGTCTTTAGAGCTTTTGTCTTCTATGACAACTCAGCTTCACTGAAGGTAGACCATGAAGGCTATCCCATACACGGATTATGTTATCTTTTTCTGGGGAATCGGTATCATCAAAAGAAAAAAGTATGCTTATTTTCTGAGCTGTCACCTGTATGCCCATTCCTCATACTAGATGAATCAGACCTCGGGCATCCTCTTCCTGGCTCAGTGAGAAACCTCTTATAAATAGCCAGACACAAAATAAGCATAAACAAGAATCAGAAGTCAATCCACAATATCGTCTCTGTGCCTGTCTGTCATGAGGACACTGCGGGCCACTTACAAAATAAGTACCATATACAAGTCTTTTGCAGTGTCAAAAAGCACAAGTGAAGCCTCTTCAAATATACTACTTCATGCCTTTATTTAAGCAAGTTGTCTTCAAATATCTTGTTCAAAAGTTCAAGAGATACTAAATCATTAGCTATTCTATTTGTCTAAAACTCAAATATAAAATACAGTTTTCATATTTCCAACCACCATGAGATGAGCTCACTGACACTAGTTGTACAATCTTCTTTTGTCAAGGATAGACTTGCTGCATTAATGTATCAGTCAGTGCTTAAAGTGTGAAGAAAAAAAAAAACAGTGTAAGGAATTACAGTCCCGTACTCAGCAAAAGCTGCTGGTTCTGGTGTTACCTCACTAGTAGTTTAGCCAGCAACTCATGAAAATCCTTCTATGGTTCTGTGAAATTAATCCATCACACCTTACAGCAACTTCCCAAACATTCAGCCACCCTCTGAAATACTGCTTCTGTCCCACAAGTTGCCGAAGCTTAAGCAACAGTGTATCAGAGAAAAGTTACCATACGCTTACACTTTTTCCTACATGCCTGCTCTTAGACAATATCCATACAACGATGTTTGCTAGGGGAGCAAAGATCATCGTAGGGCAGCTGGCATTACTGCTGTGAGAAGGTGGGGAAAAAAAGAAAACACCAAACAAAAAAACACAAATAAAAAATCCCTCCAAAACAAACCACAAAACAACCATACACAAAAAATAGAAAAAAAAACCAACATAAAAACAAAAAAAAAAACCCACAGATCAAGCAATAAAAAAAAAAAAAGGCAGAAGAAACCATATTTTGTTTCATAACTCTATTCACTTTGTTTCTTAGTGATGCTAGTCCTGAGTTTCCCCTACCACTGCAAATTATTATTCTGTACCAAAACCAACATTATCAAGTAACAGAAAGCAATGTCTCAAACATCCTCAGCCTTCACCCTGAAGTTTCTTTTACGTTAGGCCGAAATGATGGAATTCAGGTTACTTCAGGTCAAGGAATGAACAAGATAACTCCAGAGCTCCTGGGCTCTTACCTGAGGATATGCTGCAAGCAGGGTCTTCTTTATAACACATGAAATTCAGCAAGCAGATAGATTTTACTTAGGGCAGTATGACAGGAACATCAGACTATAGACAACTTACCAATTTGGAGTCTCTAACCACTAATGTAACCTATATCTGAAAACTGGACAGGCAAGCAGTGTTAACCTGGGAGATCTAAAGTTACAACCTTCCCAAGATCAAGCTTCTGCAAAGTTACCAAGCTCCAAAATAACATACTGCAAGTTACCTTACAAATGGACACCACCACGAACAGCAACACATCCACGTGCAAAGAAAAACTATTATGGTATGCTGAGAAAGAAGAGAGACCACTGAAAGTTTGGTTTCCTATGGATTTGTCCTGCCTGTTGAATTATATGAAACAAAACAGGCTGTGAGGTAAGTTCATTTTTTTCGTGGTTCAGACACTATTTTCATGTAGCTTGCAGAACTGAGTATCTTTTAAACCATCAGCTTTCTTTCAAGTATATGTGAAGCCATCACTAGTTCAACCCATCACATCAAATCTTAGCCTAATAGGGTGATCATATTAAGTCTTACTTCCTTAGGTATCAGATTAAAAAGCTGACTCCTTGTTTTAACATTAAACAGCAACTTAAGATCCTGTAAGACACCAACTATGAGGCCCTTAATGGCTAAGTCCAACAGTTTAAGTGAAATTGAAGCTCTCAGCCATCAGTAAGAAGTTGAAAGTACACTACCAAGGGAAGGCTAGCTCTGTACTTGCCTAATATACTCTTTTCATAACCACTTTTGAAAACAGAGCACAAGGCTACACAGACCTTTACTCTCACCGCACATTTTCATGTTCAGTAAACAGACAGGAAACCAAAAACTCAAAGGCTGTACCGAGTCGACCTGTGCAAGAAATAGTCAGGAGCAGGGCCAAAGGTCAGTAAAGAGAAGCTGAGAAACATACCAAATAGGTGGACAAGATGAGACTGCGGTCAGAAGTCAAGTTGAAACATAGAGAAGCCTGGAGACAGTCCTGTAAGGTAGTATACGAGGCAAGGAGCAGGCAAGACTAAAGTCAGGGCAGGAGCAAAAAGCAGCATGCATGAAAATGCTTCAGACATCTGGTATACTGAGTAACTAAAGGAAACAAGCAGAACTGTGCAATACGCTTAATAAACAGAACATAATCTTAGCCTCCTCTGCTCATCTGTCCAAGACCAATTGTAACCAGGTAGTGAAGACCACAGCTCAAGTACTCAAGAGATGCTGAAAGATGTTCTTGCCCATCTCCTCTCACTCCATTAAAACCGCCCTTAAACTATAAATTCTAGTGGGCAATAGCAGACAACGCCTCAATTCACAAAATTGACCTTGCCAGTGTCATTATTCCAGCTTCTTCTCTAGCAGTGTCAGTCCTACTTGATGTAGTCACTCTCATCCCCAATTTCAGCTCATTACAAGTAGTCCTGAAGACAGGTGACACATGCTGTACTCCACCTTCTTAGGCAGGCGCCTACAATTTAAACAGTACTGCCAGAAATTCACTAAAACCTCTGCCTTGCAGGGCAGTCAGAATGCCACAGATATGCTAACCAACAGAAAATTGCTCTAGCATGAAACAGTCTCTTTTAAGAGAGCCTGCAAAAATTCAGGATTGCTTTAATTAATTGCCGGGTGGCAGCTCCAACCACAACTCCGATGCAACTATTTCAAGCACCAGCTGATGCATAAGCAAAAGAAAAAAAAGTATCTTTCTGATGAGCTGAAAACATACAATTGGTGTCAATGAACTTCCTAGGATAACAGGGAAAAAAAAGGGTATTTCACCTCCCTATTTCCAGGCAAACATGGGTGAGGAAACTTCGTTTCCAACCAAGACATGAAGTGCTATTTAACATACAATAGAAGAAAGTATTGTAACAAATCATTTAAATAATGCTTGACAGTTACAACCATACAGTAGATAAAGCTATACTGGCAGCACTACCACTGGTCTACAAGGCATCAGAGAACACAAAAAGCAATGGCATGGCAATGCAGCACTAAATACTGTTCTTCTAAAATGTATCCATACACACATTTTTGAGTAGGCAGTTACATTTTCACCACTGTAGAAACAGCGTAAGAGTCAGATCTGCTGCAAAAGCAGAGAAAGCTGAACCTCAGGTGCTCACTTAGCCTCTCGCTCAAACACCCTAAAATCCCGTCACATATGTTCCTCTGATACACTGAGAAGGCAGCCTATAGAGCCAATACAACTGGTTCTGTTTGCATTTACCATGGAGGAAGGCTATCGAATAGAGGTAGACTTGCAGTGGGACATCCATTTACAGTGTTTACTTCTTGTTTTTGCCTACTATGGGAAAAAATACAGACTATTTTTCTAATAGCAATTGCCCTCATGTACATTTGGCATTTAGGACTTACAAAAACACGAAGGTTAAATGTTGAAAAGTGCGATCTTGGGCTTATTTAAGGATTGCCTTACTCAAATGAACATTCTCACAAAGTTCTGCACTCACACCTTTTCCAATGAAGTAATATCTAATATGAAAACTGCTCTTTTCTGAAGAGAAAAAAAGAAAAGAAACCTGCAAGGGGCTCAGAAGTCTTCTGAAGGTTATGGAAAAAACCATAAAGGTTCCATAAAAAAAAGGGTTCCTGTGTATACAGACACACAGACCTTAAAAATGGAAAAAACACACAAAGTTGTATCAAGGCACAAAACTGAATTAAACCAAAATTAGGATCTTTACCACTTGGAGTTATATTGTTCTTACAGAAATGGTGTTATTGTAGTCATGGTACTCTACATGAGATTTGTAAAGTTAGTGAAAGTATCGTATTAGAGCAACAATCATACACAGAAATATACACTTTTTTGACCCAAGCCTGAACCAACCACTAAAGCTAAATACATGTTGAGAACAATTTCTCCGAATTTGATGAAATGCTTAGCAGATGGAACACCTGACAGAACAAATACCGAGTGCTCCTGGTATAGACACATTATTAACGGAAAAGTTCTCCCTGTTTCCAAAGAGAAATGCTGGAAACATGCAGTCTGTAGGACAAGGAAAATTCCATGGTATTTGGGTTGGTCTTTCAAAATGGGATCTATTTCCTTTAAGGACTTCTTGAGGGACAAAGACCCTTTTCATATCACAGAGATTGCTGTTTGCTCTCACACCTGCA